TGAAGAGAGGTTACAAAAAGCGAACCGTTTCAAAATGCGAGTGAAAAAAAAACGTTATACAGAAAGTATTAAAGCAAACATAGACGAAGACAGAAAAACCACAAGTACTTGAAAAAGGAGGAGAACAAGATCGTAAAAGCCAAGAAAAGCGCAGAAAACGAAAACAGCAAGCATCCACATCGCAAAATATCGATAATAATAATGATATTGAAGGACAACGTGCAGTCAATTTGAAAAAATGTCGACGAAAAAAAAGACTTTATAGGAACAGAAAAAAAATAGCCTTTTCGAACAAATACTACATAATGGCGACCAAGAACATTATTTGGGCAAAATGCATATAAAATGTATACAATGCGGCGCATTACATTTCGAAGGTGAACGAGTTGGTAAAGGAGATTCTTTCGTCGATTGTTGTAGTCATGGAACAATGACTCCAATATCGTTTACGACATTTCCAAAGGAATCAAAGAGATTACTGGAAGGAGGTGATCCCCAATGCAAAGATTTTACAGAAAATATCAGAGTTTACAATAATGCATTATCAGTTGCATCATTCGACGCCAACTTAGTGGATTTCGATAGACAACCATCTGGGCCATACTGTTTTAAAATTCAAGGGCAAATTTAGCATCAAATTAAGACACCGTTATATCCTTCTCAAGATGAGATATCAACTTACAGTCAATTATTTATTATGGATCTTGATGAGGCGAATGAATTGCAGATTCTTCTGAATCGTCATGGCAATTTCCAATAAAATCAGTGTCAATAGATAAAGCTTTTAAAAGTCTACATTCATTTGCACGAATCATGGTATTGGTTTAATCACTGGTGAAGAAAGAGACAGAGAACAAAAAAAGGAAAAAACACATACATACTGTGACCTTGGCCTGGGAGTAAATATATGAATATTCCCGTCGAAGGCACGAAAATCAGGAACTTTATTCTCGTCTAACCATTAAGGGAGACTTGCTATGAGATATGGGAGGACCTGAAATAATAAGAGGGAGGCGGGTTTGAATGATTACTCGGGGAGGGGCTTATAGAGATTAAACTTTACTCTTTTCACGTTTTCTTTCAACAAATATCCATACAACAAATCACCAAGGCCTTTTGACTACTAACTAATTAACTCGAGGGTGGGGAGTACGGCCAACTCACTTGCGGCTACGTGAAACAATATAACAAAAAAAGGGGGTGACTCTACATTTGAAAAAAAAAGAGAGAAGTGAGGGGGGCCAACTGTAAAAGTAATAATTAATAGGGGAGTTGAATTACGAAGAAAATGAATTTACTGGAGGCTCACCGTTGGGAGGAAATTATATTCAGGGGCCGGGAAACTCGTTGGGGCAGGGAATAACAATGGAGCACTCACGGGGAATGGTGTCCTCAGAATTCTCTCGGTTTTAATCTGGGCTTTTGCCTCCTTCCTTCCTTCTCTCTCCCTCGCCGCTCTCTCCGTGTATCCTCCCCACAATAGTTCTCCTCCGCACAATCTTTTCAATACTTCCTCTCACACACGAAAATAGTTCCTCTTCTCACAATAGTTCGCCTCCTCGCAATCTTTCCAATAGTTTCTCTCACAGTATTTCTCAAAATAATTCCTTTTACACACTAATTCCTTTCCTCACACTTTGTCAGGGTCTTTTCACAGGGTCTCTTCGGGGTAACTCTTTTACTTTACGGGGCAGTGACTCGTGGGGCAGCTGTAGCACGAGTGATTTCTTCCAATCATCCTCATCTTTTTCTCCCGATTACGGCGATAATCCGTGCTAATTGGGGGTAATCGTGATTGTGTGTCCTTTTCCGTCTTTCGACATGGGGGACTCGCCCGAGGGATCTCTTCCTTGATGCGTGAGTGCTCGGGCGAGAGGGAGTAGGGACGGGGGGTAAGGAATATCTGGGGATGGATTGTCCAACGGTGGCAAAACGATTAACTTAAATCTAACTAAGCCTAACAAAAAATAAGATGTATTAATTAGGGGGCAGGGGGGGGGGTGCAAAATTCTGCCTCGTCACAATACATACAAACACCATCTAAGAACCCAATATTTGGATTTTTTAGGATACATTTAGTAATCTTAACGGAAAAAATTGGAAACTTAAATATAACAAAGCTTGGATTCGGAAGCAAAACCGGGAATATAAAATATTCCCAAAATATTAGGCACGCCATGTAACAAACGTCAATGAGAGAACTTTCAATTTGAGAAGATAGATACAAATTATACCTTTCTTTTTGGAAGGTAAACCTTTTCTTAATTTCCATGTATTTCCATAAATTGGACGTTATCTTATAAAGGAAAAAATGCAAATTAAATACGTAGAATTAAAAAAAAGAAAAATGAGTAAATATTCAATATAATTACATATGATATATTGACAGAATCATGTTTTTGGTCTAAGAACATCGAATATATGAGCACAGTAGATAAAAAACGATCTCAATAACACGTCCGTCCTCCGCGCGCCTCTGATATCGCTGTAGTAATAATAATAATAATAATGGCGTATGTATTTTAACGACGTAGGAAAGTTGGCGTCCTCATTGCCCAGTGGGATGTTTTTCCATCCTGTTACAACAGCCCTAATTGTTGCGGGTTAACTATCCTTAACTTCCAATACCTGGTTCTACCAAGAAGCACGGACAATAGCAATAGCCATTGGATGTCTGTCAGAAGTGACACCAACCCTCCAAGCGAATTTGAGGGACGTCGGATCGTTGTCTTCGACTCCGACCCTAACCGCTGGTGTAACCCACCAGCATATACAGCCGACAAGACGCCCTTTTTAAAAGGGAAGATGAATCATATACTGAATTTTTGTATTATATTCCCGCCCTTTCTGCCCTATTTTGGCTAATTGGCCCTATCTCACCCTGGCATGTGGCTGTGGACCCTACACTGTACCGACATGAGAAACCACAGGTAAAACCATATCGGTACAGGCGGTTGCTAACTCACAACGTTGCGAACTCACAATTTTCAGAACACTAGGCTCGCACCTAGCCACTAAGCTACCGACGTCGGTGATGTACTGAAATTACTATCTACATTAAAAGTTGGTAAAACTATACAGCCGTGAAGTAAGCGCTAGCCCCCTTTCTTCTTATTTTCGTTCCCTTTTTCCCCCCATTTCAGCCCCCCCCCCCTCCCCCATTATTAATAACATACAGAATTTTTCCCTTACTGTAGCTTAAGGGGGTCATCCCATGTGTGAGGTTGAAAAAATCGATTTTTTTTTTCACACTAATTGCATCTACATATATCATAGAATATGTGTATAAAGGGATTCGATGATACTCGAAGTCGCTCGAAAGTTATAGCAGTCAATAGGCTCGCGTAAAAATTGATATTTCGAACGCGCGCTCAGGTAGGCACGATGGACCGGCTGGAACAGCACGTTATCACAGCAAATAAAATTTGCTGTGATTTTTTCTTGCATGCGTTATTTACAATTCCACAAATGGGTCGCGTAAAAGGTTCTAAAAGGATCCCAGTACCTTCTGGTCGAAGAAAAAAACGTATATTTTCGGGAAATCGCCACATATTAGAGCAAAAAACAGAGTTCACGTCAGCATCTGCGAAAAAACTCTCAGGAAACGAGAACTTGAATGTATCCATTACAGCACGGTGTATTCAATATTAGAATTTACTTCAGTGTTTTCTGCAATTTCCGGAAATGTGATATGCAGAAAATGTAAGGGTGACGTGGCTTTTTCACAAGGCAGTTCAAGGGGCTTGGGTTTCAAAATTTTTCTTTCATGTGGGTATGAGAAAATTCAAACTTATAACTCAGGCCCTATGATAGAAAATGCTTATGAAATAAATAGACGTTTAATTTTCGTCATGCGCTTATTAGGAATTGGTCATGAAGGAGTGAATCTTTTCTGCAGTCTAATGAGTTTCTGTTCTGGCATTGGGAATTCTACGTACATAAAAATCTTAAAAAATGTTCATACAGCCGCATCTGCTGTTTATGAAACAGTCTTATCAGTCGCCACTACCAAGGAGAGAGAAATGAATGAAGAAGCTGCCAAACCAGAACACGAATTCACAGTTTCTGCTGACGGCACCTGGAAGAAGCGAGGATTTTGATCACTGTTTGGTGTTTCTACGTTGATAGCTAAGTATACCGGTAAAGTTGTGGATGCATATGTGTTCAGAGCGGGATCTGGTTATGGGGATATTTTTATGTGATGGATGAGATGAGGACGGATTTTCAGGAAGTGTTGAGCGGGTTAAAGAATTCACTCGCGTGGCGTTGGTCAAAAAGGAGTCACGTTTAATTGTCAAGAAAAGTCACTTCACAATTATATGTCACAATAATGAGCTGAG